AGTGGCTGCCAGTGAGTTAGTGGTTGAGCCATTTGGTGGCAGAGTGGGGAAGGGAAGAACAGGATGAGAACTACAAGAAAAGAAAATGCTGAGTAGGTTGAAGAGAATATAAGAATAACATATAATACAAGGCCCAGTAAGAGGCAATTGCATAGACCCCGGGACAGTCAGGAGTACAACAGGCCAATCTGAGTGCATGTCTACCATTATAATGGGGCTGGTAATGCTAGTATATTATAAACCACATGTGTCAATCGGTATTTGAATTGCATTGGGCAAAGGTAAGAGAGTAACAGCACAAAGGTTAAGCACATGACTTAAACACTGACACATGCTAAGTTTTCTGAAAATAGCTGTAACCAGGAAATAGTGGTTAAAAAAACCCAACTTGTTTTATTGAAGAGAACAAAGTTAATTAAAGGGATGCTCTCTCTTAGGGGTTTTAAACAGAAGCCAATATCTGTGGTCTTGAAAAATCACTGAGGCAAACTACAGTACTTTCTCCACTGTAAAAGCTCCCTCTGTCCACTCATTTATATTGCATGCATTATAGTACTTTCTCAGGGCCTCAACCTTTTGAAAATACTTATCGTCAATGCTGTTGGGAAGACAGGAAGTGCCAACATCCTCATTTTACATATAGGGAGCTGGAGCTGGAGCACCCAGATGCTAGGCAGCTTGCCTAAGGTCACAAAGGAAGTTTATGGAAATTAGGACTTGAATCCAGGCCTCCAAGAGCTAGTACTCTAACCACCTCTCTCCAAAAGATGGGCTAAGAATTAGTGATCATTCAATGGCAATATGAATGGGGCAAACCCAAAGTTCAACTTCTCCAACTCTTTATTGCTCCAAGGACAGATTTGTAGCTCAGATTTATTCTGCATGTGCCCACAAATAAGTATTTTTAGGGCAAAATTTGATAAAACCCAATTCCAACCCTTCTATGGGCAAAGACTCACTCTTTGAGATCCATGGACCATGCTGAGTACATCAATGATAGCTGAGTGTTTAATAATAAAATGAAACATACGTTCCAATGAGTCCATTGCAATTTAATGAACCTACCGTTAGAACGCAGTGGGCAATACTTTTCTCAAGGGGGCCACTTACTTATTTTTGGTACATGGTCATGGGTCAGCTCCACCTCTGGAAGGAAGAGGCCTGGGACAGAATGAGAGAGGCTGGGGACTAGTCTCCCAGCAGAGTTGTCTGGGGGTGGAAGCTTTGAATTAAAAATACAACAAAAGGCTTGCAGCACTCAGCCCCACCACTACCATTGCGGAGCAGCAGTCTAGGATTGCTGCAACTATTTAAAGGGCTGGTTGCTCCAGCCCCTGCTGGGGTAGTGCCGCAATAGGCAGCCATGAGCCATTTAAATAGGACCCTGCTGCCTGAGCCACAGTCTGGAAATTCGGTGGCACAGGCAGCAGGACATAAATAGAAAGCAGACAAATGCAGCCCACAGGCCAGATCTGGCCCCTGGGTCACATCTTGCCCAACCCCTATGTTAGACAGTCTCCACTGAGTTCCTAAAAAGCCAGATATGATCTCCTTATGCAACATTACATATTCACCTATATCAAATTTCTTGGCAGTAAACCTTTTATTTTATCCTTATTTAGGATCTGGATTGAATGAAGCAGTTTTTTGGGGTGAAGGAGTGGGGGTAAATAACAGTTGTGCGTGGCACTGCTGCAAGCAGGCCTGATGAATTTATCAGTGTTATTGTATAAGAAGTCAAGTATTACATCAAGCCTCATTTTCACAGGCTTTAAACAAACAAAACAAACAAACAAACCAACTAAAAATATCCATTTTGGGTGCAATCACTGAGATTTTCTCAACTATTTCCTTGAGTCTACAGGAGTAAGAATTAAAGAAGTCAATGGTGACAGGAGAGGCAGAGAAGAATTAAAACATAACAATCAAACAACACAGCTGTAACAAAAGCCTCAGAGCAACAGTAAGATTAGCAAAAAATATTTATGGTTTCACAGTAGCTAAGGCCTAAAGGTACTAAAGAGAGGTACTAAAGAGAGGGAGAAGTATCTTCAATTTTATGATCCAGGGAAACAAGTGTGCAATAGCAGATGACTGTTTATACGGAGAAATAAAAATGAAGTGATCAAGTTTGCTCTTAGAGAAATACCACCAATCAGAAATGTTCCCATTCCACAAAACAAGGTGGGATATAGAAACTCCACCTTGCAAAGGGAATAATATTTTATTAATCTTTAAAATGTGCTCTATTTGCAAACACTGTATATCTCTCAAATAAATGCCACACTCCTAGAGGACCACATTCTACTCTCAGACACATGTTGCACATGGGAACTCCTGTATATAACAAACTAGATTTTGGCCTAGTTTAGAGTATGTTCCATCAAAGGAACTGAAGTGCTTTGCCAGCATTAACACAGCTTTGCCATACTATATATCCTAGTTTACCCAAACTGAAGCAAAGTTGCACTGAACCAACATCGCCCAACACTGAGTCCTATACTACAGGACCTGACCATATACAACAGTCTTGTTTTGGGGGAACTTACTGCTGTTTCTTTCAGGTGTTCTACCATATTTCATGGTTAGACCCCATATATTATGGGTGGGGAACCTCAGGCACAGAGGCCAGATGCAACCCCCAGCTTACCTGGATCTGGCCCCCGAAGGCTCATGCCCCTCCCCCCCCCCCCCCCCCCGCACACTAGCACTCCAGCTCCCCTACCACCCACCTGCAGGACTGGAGCACACAAAATCTGAATGTGAGAAGTGTCTTTCTGTGTCTCAGTTGCCACATCAGTGAGGGTTTTTTGTGTGTGGCTCCCAAAGTGATTTTTCTGTGGGTCAGTGGCCACCAACCCAAAAAAGGTTCCCGATCCTTGATATATACAGTTACCTCACATGACCAAGACAGGGCACACAGGGACAACGTCTACACTGGCATGATTTTCCGGAAATGCTTTTAACGGAAAAGTTTTCCGTTAAAAGCATTTTCGGAAAAGCGCGTCTAGATTGGCAGGACGCTTTTCCGCAAAAGCACTTTTTGCGGAAAAGCATCCGTGGCCAATCTAGACGTGCTTTTCTGCAAAAAAGTCCCGATCACCATTTTCGCGATCGGGGCTTTTTTGCGGAAAACAAATCTCTGCTGTCTATACTGGCCCTTTTGCGCAAAAGTCTTTCGGAAAAAGACTTTTGCCCGAACGGGAGCAGCATAGTATTTCCGGAAAAGCACTGACAATCTTACATGAGATCGTCAGTGCTTTTGCGGAAATTCAAGGGCCAGTGTAGACAGCTGGCAAGTTTTTCTGCAAAAGCAGAGGATTTTGCGGAAAAACTTGTCAGTCTAGACACAGCCTGGCTGTTAAATTAACTGTAACAATTAACAAAACAATTATAAAATTTCTCCTTTCAAAGACATTTCTTTAGAAACCCTCCCCTAGTTCTTTCATAGCAGAGAGTTAGGGGGATCAGTAACTAAATAAAAAAAAGTTTTGATTTTGCTGACAGAGGTTAACCCAGCAATGTACCGATTTGTGGCAAGGAGACCTACAGCAAAAGGGAGAAGTTATTGACCACTTTGGAGACCGGTCCAGTAAATGGGTTGTAGGGAGCTCAAATGGAGAACTGTACACACATGAAATCAGTAAAACCACTTCCCCAAAGGAACCTCTCCCCTAACCCACAAATATGCCTCCTTTTATTATCTCTGCATCCCCAAGCCAGCAGCTTTAGAGACAAAAAGAGCTCACACAGCTCAGTGACTTTGCAAGACTTTTCTGCAATCATCTCCACATCCTGTAAATAGATTTAAGCAACAGGGTTTTCAGGGGAGTGGGGCTCTTAGCACAAGACACGGTGCCAGGAACTAATCCTATTTCCAACTTTCTCCCTCTTTCTTCCCCTCCCCCTTCCAAAATGAATGAGGGTCTGAAAAATCCATGCTCATTTCTGCCTTTTTAAAAAACAAGCATTAAACCCTTCCTGAGTATCTGACCCACGGTAACCTCATCCACCCATCTCCCAGCAGAGAGATGGGTAACGTAGTTCTGCCTCAAAGAGCACAAATACCAAGTGACACATTCACACTACAACTCCCAGAAAGTATCGCTGAATGACAGAGGCTGCCAGCTATCTCGTTGCACGGTGATGCAAAGGCTTTGCTGAACCAATGAAAGAGGGCAGGAAGAATGTCAACAAACAAGGAGGCTTGGAGGCCACGTGACACGACTTAGCGCAGTGAACCACAGATAAGCAACAAAAAACAGCAACCCTGGTGCTGCGTGGTCTGATTGCAACAGCTAAAGTTGTCATTCCCAATAAAGCAGCTTCAGGGCTTGGAATTACACTCTTCCCTCTTGCTTGGATCTAGCTGCATATGTACACAAAAGGGTTCCATTCTACTGAGAATAAACTGTCACTAAAAAAGAAATCATATGTACAATTAAACCTGTCACAAAGAAGAGTAAGATAGGTTGACTGTTTAGTAGTTATTTTTTAATTAGGACTTCCCTCTTATCCTGAAAGCTGACCTCAGAGGAAAAACAAAGCTGTACAGGAAGCAGCAACCTTCTAAAAATAAGTCTACTGCAATTTATAAGCTCTACTGAATGCCATAAGGACAAGTGGAAAATTTTAATGAAACTATCCACAAAAAGTAGGCCATAAAGTCACCCTTGTGCCTCTTCTATATGCTGTATAAATTCAATTTTCTGTATAACAGGGAGTGTGTGTGCACCCTTTATGCATTAAACTTCACTGTACTACATCTAAGGACACTAGCAAAGTAGATTATCCACTACATCCCCAGCAATTATATCAGAATGTTGTGGGCTGGAATACAATAGGGATATGTCCAAACAGATCACATATTTCTCACGAAAGGGAGACTTCCTATTATAAGTAAGCTCTAAGTGGAACATCTATCAAAATATTTTAAGATCTACACTTTTTACCCAACTTCCCCCAACCCTCAAATACCCCAAGATAATCAGATGTATTACCTGGAAGTCATACAAGGCAACGATATTTTCATGTTTCAGTTCCTAAAAAAAAAAAAAAAAAAAAAATAAGGAATAACAGTGTGTGTGTATATATATATATATATAAACATAATTCTGAGAGAAAATAAAGTAGTTTCTTCCTTTTACCTTAAGTATTTTGATTTCCTTCCCCAACAGAGTTTGAGATTTTGCAAGATTTTTCTTGTTAATACATTTTACGGCTACCTCCAACTCAGGTTTCTGAAAGTTAAATGTGTATGTGTAAATTAAAAGATAAATGCCAATGACATTAGGATGCAAGGTTCTCTGACAGGATACAATTATGTCCAACGTAAGGGTTACAAAGCCCTAATTTGATATCTCAGACATACACTGTACTTGTTCAGACTTGCCCTTTGCTGAATTAAACTTGTCAGCTCAAAAAAGAAAAGCCAGAGGTTTATGTTTTTCTTATTACTTTATACTACAATTATGCTCTTATTTAAACAATGCAACTAAATGGATTTTGGGAACCAGAACTTAATCCTGAGCTTTAAATGATGAAAAATCCACAGATGGATTGTATACTCTTATTTAACTATTAACAAACAACCTCTTCTACAAACCATACAATTAACAATGACAATACACTTCAAAAATTGACCTGGGCCATAGCATATGTCTGACAACAGATTATTTGATCTATCACCGGAGCACAACACAATAGTGATAGAAACATATCACTTTTAAACCCTTTCATTAATTTTGGCCGGCCAGCCACCAACTTAAGACTTTTTCAGAGTTCTGCTCATTTGTGTGTCCCTGAATAACTTATAATAGTGTGTATGTATCTGTATGGCTCCGAGCTACAAAACTATTTCGGGAGCTTTGTAATAAACACACAAAACAGGGACTAAGTTAGAGACAAAGTACAAAACCACAAACAAAGGGGGAGGGGGTAAACCCTCCCCTCCCAAATTGCAAAAAAGACAAAAGAGAAAACCCCTATTTACCTCTTTGTGTCTCCTTTTTAA